TTCAGGGCAAAGTCACTTTAATTTTGGAGAGCTACGCTCCCTGCCTGTGGCAGGCCAGCTCTTCCTCCTCCTCGCAGATTATTGCCTTTTCATCTTTTAATTTTTAGCACAATGTGTCAAGTCAGAGAGTTTTTAAAACCATGTCAGAAGAACTCTTCATGTTTTTATTATTGTATTTATTCCATATTACTAATTTTTTGTTATTAAATGCACTCTACAAATGGCTCAGGGAGCCATAGTTATAAATGTATCAGAGGCCTATAATGAAGCTTTATACATGTAGCTATATCTATACATAATTCTGTATATAGCCTATATTTACAGTGGAAATGTAAGCTGTTTATTTTATATTAAAATAAGCACTGTATTAATAACAGTGCATATTCTTTTCTATCATTTTTGTACAGTTTATGGTACCAGAGATCTGGCTTTATTGGACTGTATCAGACAACATTTTGTCTTTTACAGTTCATCTTTTCCTAGTGCCGGATTTTCTGCGTGTCTGAGTGGAAGTGAAGCTTTGCAATAGTGTCCTTTATTGTCACATCTTTGTCTAGCGCAGCAGAGAAGAGCTCTGTGGTGTAACTATTGCATTGTAATTTATCAAAGCTATTTGGGGCATTGCTGATGTTCACCACGGCAGGGGCTGCTGCTTCCCATGATGCTTTTCCAAAGCAGGGTTTTTAGTGATCCGAGTGGAAAAACCACTCCTGGGTCACATTAAGGCCTTGTATTTTCTCAGTGTCCTGACACAGTATTTCTTACTGTATCAGCAGAGTTTATTTTAATGCAAGCAAGCCCAAGCTCTTCCTGCTTTGCTGATCTAACACAACCAAAATCTTACTGTTTGTGGAATGATCTGTAACAAATTAATCATAAGGTTCAAATCATACCCTGTATGCTGGCAGGAAAGCCTTTTCAGAATTGCTTCAGCTGACTGACTCTTTACCTTGAAGCTGCTAACACTCCTCAGAGATTTAGGTTGGCTTTCACTGGCATGGGTACCACTAACTCTTTGTTCTGCTCACTTATACTAAGATTAATCAACATCGATATTTCCTGTTTCTTTCTTGCACACTTGTTAAGGAAGCAGTCCTCGACCCCACGTCTTCTGGAACCTTAAAGGGGTTCCTGTTGATCAGGATGTAACACTGGTGTAGGACATGGTTTTCTTACTGTAAATGACCTACCTCAGGTTACTGGGTCCTGCGTAGTGCGTTGCCATGATCACTGTACACCATCCCTGTTTTTTGGGACCTGTGGCCCGGGGGGACACAGTCGCTCCTGTGATAACCGTGACTTATTGAATGGTCAGCGTTGCATGTCTTTGTCAACTTGGACATTTTGTAGCCTTAGCATGTTTGCAAAATGTCTCATTGAGGCAGAAATCTGAAAAGTAAATAAAACTATTTTGGGTTTTGTAAATTTTATTGGTGTAAGTGGTTTGTTTTGGGCACATAAAGAACTTTGCACCTTTTTGAGCCTTTAGGAACAAGTTTCCAGGATTTTTTTTTTTCCTCTTCTTTTGCACCTCAGTCTGATCTTTCATTCTTCAGAGTAAAGGTGTTTCTTTAAAAAAGAAGTGTACACTTTAAAAGTGTAGTGAGTGATTTTTGTGTGCCCTCCAGCATGGGGGTAGCTTGCAATACATGTATGTTGAGTAATACAGGGAGTAATAATTTATAGTCCAAGTATTCAAGCCAAGTTGAAGGGCTGAGGTCAGGTGGAAGACCTTCCTAGGCTCAGATTTTCCATTTTCTTTACCTGAAAGCACTACTGTTTATAGAGGGACATGACTGCAAAGTCACAGAAGCAATTCTACCTAGTAGTACCACAGGCAGATTGTGGTATTAACAGAGCTTGCACTGTAACTTGAAGTAGAATAAAAAGCATTGTTGTGATTGTTCTTAACTCTTGTCCAAAACAAGAATTAAGGGGCACAGACTTTACCCTGCTCCCAGGCTTGGAGTTTACCCCACGGACTTTCAATACTTCCTTTGAAGGAAATGAGCTAATGTACCTGGTTCTGCATGCTGCAGGGTCAGTGTGTGGCTTCACTTCGCAGCTAAGGCTGAGCTAACGGCAGTCTGGGAAAAAGGGGAGCCATCCTGATCTTATCCTCCTTCTTCTTCCAGGCTGGGACTTCCTCTTCCCTTCCCGATGCCAGCAGTGGCTCTTGTGTGGTCCAGTTCAGAAAGCTAACTTGCAGAAAGCAGGAATGCTGTACAAAGGAGGAGACAGGAAGGCACCACCCACAGGAAGGGAGGTGAAGTGAGGCTGCTCTTTTCAGTAGGTTCTGGCTGTAACAGTAGCATAGGTGTGAGGGGGAACGGCTCAGCATTCACTGCCCCAAACTGCTGCTTCCCAGTTACACTCTCCTAAAGAGCTGAATCCTTACTGCAGCTTTGGTCACCTGAAACAGCTCAGCAAGGTGTTAAGGGTCTGTGATGGAGCAGGTGAACAGTCATCTGTGAACAGCAGGGATTATCTCAACCATTTGTTAAACCTTGGCTGCAGCACTGTTACTTTGGAATTAAAGACGGAGACTGACAGAAGGAAATGTTCTTTCTGTTGTGATCACTTATGTGCTTCATTTGGCACTTGTCTCACAGGTGTACTGAAGTATTGCTGCTCACAGGGGTAGCTGTAATTTTTTTACTGGCTTTCATCCTGAACCACAGGAGCAAACAGAGGCCTGACCAAAGGTCCTGTCACTGAAGGGGAAGAAAAGAACATTAATATTTATAAAGGGGACTGAAATATCTTTATCTTTGGAGCATTCTGAAAGAGGTTGATAATGATGATTGGAATGTTCAGGAGTTGGATTCTGCTTTAGAATTTATAGTGTGATATCCAGAGAAGACTTCATCCTATGAGGAATAGAATAAGACACTAGGATTGGGATAGAGACTTTCCTTAAAGAGATCCTACCCAAAATAGCATGGGAGATAGCACATGCTTCTGTTCTAGTTTAATATCAGCTGGCAACTAAGCTCCACACAGTCCTGTGGGATGGGGGGAGAACTGAAAGGGTAGAAGGTAGAAAACTTGAGAGTTGAATAGGGAAAGCAGGAAACCACACAAGCGAAGCAAAACAAGGTATTCATTTCCCATTGCCCATGGGCAGCTATCTCCATGAAAGCAGAGCTCCATTGTGTGTAATGGTGATTTGGGAAAACAAACACCATCATTCTGAATGTTCCCTCCTTCCTCTCCAGCTTTTATAATGCCATATGGTCTGGAATATCTCTGTGGTCAGCTGTCTCTGCTGTGTCTACTCCCATCTCCTTGAGCACACTCAGCCTCCCTGCTGGTCAGGTGGGGAGCAGAAATGTCCTTGGCTCTGTGCAAGCCCTGCTCAGCAACAGCTATAAAACATCTCTGAATTATCAACGCTGTTGTTAGTACCAACCCCAAACACAGCTTGATACCAGCTACTGTGAAGAAAATTCACTCTATCCCAGCCAAAACCAGCACATTTTACAGCAAAGGCTGTGGCCCAAGACCAGCAGGTGTGCAAGATGAGAGACATTTGCCTGGGATAACTGGTTACTGTATTGTTCTCTGGAATTTCCATTACGTCAGTTTTGCTTATTCTGTCCAAACACAGTGAGTGCAGCTGATCCTGATTCATTATCAAAAGCTTAGAGCCTCTTCAAGAGAATGTGTTTCTGCTCATCTCATCTGTCTGATGAGTGGACACACTACACTTGCCTGGGACTTCAACCAAAGCACAGGTAGGATTCTTCTAAAATTACTCTGCAATTAACGTGCAGTTAGATGGGTGTAATCAGAGTCTAAAGTTGTCCTGGCTGATGACATTTCACCTTCTCTGTGGTGAAGGTGTGCAGGGTCAGATCCTGGGGTTGCTGGGGCTGTGCTTTGCCCATCACCTGTAGATGAAAGCCAGGTCAAACAGGCTTAGTGCATCACTGGAAACAAAACTGGAGGAAGCTGCATTTTTTCAATAGGCAACTGGTGTGAGTGAGAGGAGGTATCAGAAGGATAAAAGCAAGACATTTGACTTATTAAAAGAAGACATGGACAGCAAAAAAGGCAGGACAAAATGTTCTTCTTAGTTACAAGGGGGTTTATTGCAAAGGCAAAATTTATTTTTGAAGGTGGTTCAAAAGAACACTGAGAAAGTGTGGAGCGCTGTACGCAGCAACCAAAGAGCCTGAGTGCTATCTCGTTAATTTTTACTGCAACAGTAGCATGTGTTTTACTATATATAAGTGATTACACAAAGGTTTTCTTTAGCTTCAGGTCGGTGGAGGGTGATACTGTGATTTGATTAACCCTTGGTTGAGCGTGTAACCGCAGCCACAATTTGCTGAGGCCACAATTTTTGCCTCTGGTGTGACGATACAGTGGAAACTGAGCTGGAATTTGGTGCAGATGCTGCAGTTGTTAGTGTAAGGTTTGGGAGGCTTTTAGAATGTACCACTATGGATTCATTAAACCCACAACCATGTGAGAAATGTTCCTGTCTTGTCCAAAATATGCGCCTTGGAGCCTCATCAGGCAGTGAGGTAGGCAAAGCATAACAGTGAAAATTAGAGTGAAAATAACTTACAGAAGTGTCATTACATGGGGCAGAGACCGTGCTTCTCTTTGCCTGGGGGGAGTGCAAATCACAGTTACTTGTGCACATCATCTTCCTTCCAGCTTGCTGACTCCTGCTGTTGCCATGCAGAGAAACAAGTGCTTGTACAAAGCTGATAATTCTGTGGTTTCTGTCCTTTCCAACTTAGGAAGATAGCAGTAGAGGGTGTGTGATTGATTGCCTCGACTTCTGGGGAAAAGTACATTATGTATGAGCTGTGCTCTGGGACCAGTTTACAGTGAGAGCTGGAGGCAGGAAACTACAGGCAGCCCAGCTGGGAGAGAAGGGATTAAAAAACCGGGTGTGTATGGGGTCCAGGGCGAAGGGAGGCTGTGTAGGGTTAGCTGTGAGCTCCATGTGGGTGTGTGACCAGGAGGAGTGAGGAAGCCAAACTATGTACCGGTGGGATGAGGGTGCAAGAATCAGCGCTGCTGGAAGCCGTGGGGTGGAGGGTTTGGGGCTGCTTGTCGTGGAGCTGGGGCGGGGGACGGTGAAAGTGAGACAGACATTCAGGCGGTGCGCTAGGAACAGCGCTGGCTGTGAGGGGACACGAGCGATCCGAGCGGGACATTGTGGCCATGCCAATGGCCTTCCCCAGAGCAGGAGAGGTGGGATCGGTGTGTCCGGACCAGGCACCGGGGCTGGCCTATGGGGAGAGGAGGGAAACACTGCGTGGGCCGGTAAAAGCTGCCTTGTGAAAGGGGCACGGCCGGACGGAGCCGCCGGCGCTCAGAGCGGCACGCGCGGACACCCACGCCCGTGAGTGAGGGAATGAACGAACGGACGAGCAAAATGCACGAGTGAACGCTGCTGTCCCCCGAGCGCTGCCGGTGTCCGGGGCCGTCCCGGNCTGCCCCTCTTCGCCCAGCCGCCCTGCTCCGCCTGCCCGCTCGGCTTCAGGGTGGACCCCTTCACCGACTACGGCTCATCCCTCACCGTCTCCCTGCCCGCCGCCCTCCAGCCGCACCAGCCCTTCCAGATCATCGTCCGCTACACCACGGCCGACGGCCCCGCCGTGAGTACCGGGCGGGGGTTGGTAACGCAGGAAACGGGGTCCCGGGGCGGCTGGCAGAGCCCCCCCGCGCCGCCCGCGCCTGTCGCGCATCTTTGCTCTTGTTGTAAGTGGCCGTCGGGGAAGCGCCCCGGCTCCGCAGCAAAGGCGGCGGGAGGTTTCTCACTGCCAGCCCCTCCGGTCCTGTCCCTGGCCCCATCTCCCGGCACCGCCAGCCCGCTGGGCAGCAGCATCTGTCCCCTGCCCGCGGGCCCTCGGCACTGCCATCCCCTCGGTCCTCCCGCACTCAGCAGCGGTGCTCGTACCGACCCAGCTGTTCTCCCTCCTGTCTTCCCCATCACGTAGACCCCAAGGCTATTCATCCTCCCCGACTCTAGTAATTTAAAAGTTTTTCGTTCTTTAAGGACATTGCAGTTGTTGGTGAGGAGAGTGAAAATTTGCAAACTCCAGTCTGACTCAGTCCTTCAGGATAAATTATGTCATCCACAATTCAGGAGTTTCCCTGGGGGTTTCGCCAGCTGCTAACAAAATAAGGCTTTGCACACCTAGGCTGCTGTTCCAATGAGCCATGGTCAGGACCTTTGAGAGGAACGGGGTGATTCCACATGTTCCTACAAGTTATCTGCTGAAAAAAGGGATGAGAAATGGCCCAAAACATCCCTTCGGCTGTAGCCATGGAGGTGCTTCCATGTCTGTGCATTAGCTTTCTTCAGCAGTGAAATGCTTTGTAAATTCTGTCATTTCTTGCAAACTCCCGTCATTTAGAAGCACTTTATTCCCAGCCTTCTAGGTGCTGCTTGTCAGATCTTGTGTTTTTAGGAAGTTATGACGGTGAAAATACAAAGTTCCCACTGAAACATCAGTTGTTTTTATTACTGTACAGTCTGTTCAGATTGGAAATTAAACTGAGGTGATTTTCATCATGTGGTTCATGAATCTATTTGCAAAAGAAATATTTTTTTATAAGAGTCATGCAACTTTCTTGCATCTATCTTGCCTAGAAGAATTGTCCCTCAGCCCTCTGATTTGGTGTTGCTGTTGCACTGCTCAAAACTAGTAAATGTGTGGATCTATTCGACTTTTACAGTGTATTTAACAAGAACAGGAATTGAACATAAAAGCTTCTTGCAAAACAACCCACAGGAAGTAAATAGTAGGCCTTTCCTCTTGATAGGAAAGTCTTGCTGATTAGAATGTGTTTGCTGGATGTTTCTGTCTAATTTTATTACTACGTGGAAAATGACAAAAGTAATTTCATCCTTGGAATGATCTGAGTATTCTTAATACATTGGCTTGCTTGGAATACTGAGTTCCACATGAAGTTTTTTATTGACAGAAGTTTCCTGTGGTCATATGGTGACTTTAATGTTATAGTCTTTCCCTAAAAGTGCAAAAATGAAGTAAGATTCTGGCACTTTTAAAGTTCAAATCCACTTGGATACTGTTCCTTTTCATCTATGGAATTCCTGGCTTTACTATTTCCTTGTACAGTGCTCTGCCATGTAGCTCACAGTATGTTCAGAAGATTCTGTTTGTTATTTTTTCCCCCAGGTTTATGAAGAAACCTGTTTCTTTTGTCCACTCTCTGCCTTGTTTATGGTGAGAAGGCTTTAAAGTTAATTTGGCATTGCTGTGTGCTCTGTAATTGTTCTCTGGTCTGGCTGAGCCACACCTCCCAAAGTACACGATAATGTGCTTTCCTCCTCTTGAACAAATTGTTTTATTTTAAGCCAGCCTGTGCTTTCCCCTGCGTTTTGCCAGCCCTGTTGCCAAAGAGGCAGCCTGTCCTACTGAGTCTATGGAGAAATGATCTCACTATCATTAGAATACTGATCTGGCTTTGGGAATGTGAAAACCACTGGAAGGTTCAGGGCACTGATTGATGTGAAGTTAATTTATTCTCATCTGTATTAATGTGTTGTCTCATTGGCCCCACATGCAGTCCTGTGTGGATGCTGAAGGAGGACATTTCTTCCATTCCCTCTGTTGTCTTGCTCCCCATGGATCAGAGGTTAACTAGTTATTCTTTGTACTGTTTTTTGAAGTCTTTATTGTACCTCTAACAGCATGTCCTGCTTCAGCTGAAATGAAGCTGCAAGGGCATATGTCAAGATTATTGATGGTCACAGCACTGGGGATGTACACTGTCCTTCCCTAGTGATACTGGAAAGCAGAAGCAGGCATGCTCACTGACACAAATCCTACCATGTTTGCTCACTCTCTGTTGTAGGTTTTGGCTGGCAAAATATTTGTCCTCGAGTAGCACCTGTTGTAGCCCTTCATGTTCAGCACACTGAAGTATTTTGTTTGGATCCAAAGCGGTTTGGTGCTATTGTAGTGCTCTCTCTCATTGCTGTCTTTTGGCCCAGCACTGCACTTTAACAGGGATGAGTAACCCATATCCGTATAAGGGTCAACGGGTTTATACTCACGTCTTGTAAATATTCTGGCAGTCCCTTTTCTGTCAGTGAGGCACAGATTTACAGTGTCAGACCTCTCTCTTCTAAAAGTTCTATTTTCTTTGGCCATTCTAGGAATTTATTCTCCTTAGGTCAGGGTTTATTTTCTGTGGGACCTTTAGCATACTTATGGGACCCATAAAACAATGACTGCATGTTACAGTGCAGTGTGAATGTGTTGGCAGTAAGATCAGCAGCAGAGATAGTAGTGTTTAAAATAAACCTGTTGTCTTGATATATTTGCTTTGAGCCATCTGGACATGTTATTTGACTGTCCCATTATTTCTCGTGTGGAGGAAGGAGCCAAGATCTTTGGTTGTTTGATGGACATTGAGAGACAGCTGAGAGATTAAATCTGCCTTTCACAGAGCATTCCAGCTCCCTGTGCTCTTAGGAAACCATATGCTCAGTACATCACCAGTTTCCATCAGAGACAAGGCTGTCACAATCATTATGTATCTCTCCTGGTGTGGGCTGAAGGCACACAGTGATCAGGTGTGTCAGGGACAGTAATCCTGTTCTTCCCCTCCTTCTTCTCCCCCATCTCTTACTTCTTGGCAGTACTCTTGTGTGATATTTTCTTTTCTCCTTCCCTAGAGAAAAAAATCTACACCTATCTCTTGCCCACTGTGTCATTCCTCTGATTTGGCAGTGCACATCTTAACACCAGTGCTATTTTCTTTCCTTAAATGCAAATCCTTCTCTGGGTTCTGGTACAAAAAAAAGATAACATTTCCTTATCTGAAGGATTTAGCAGAAAGGACAGCCTTCTTTGCAGTGCTAGGAGCTTCCCTGTAATTCCTTAGATTTGTCTTGATTCCTCAGTCCCCACAGAATGACTTGCTTTCCAGGTGTGCCTTGCTCCTGTCACGTGCTCTGCATCTCAGGTGTTTTGTTTACTTTGTCATCAGATAGAGCAGCTTGTTTGCGTAGAACAGAAGCTGTGGCTTTGCAGCTCTTCCTTCGACCTTCATCAATAATGCATGTAGAAACATGGAGAGGTTTAAAATTAAAAGAGGCTTAGCTAATTGCCTTTGTCATTTGCCAGATTTGGGCAAAAGATTATGATCTAAGTCAATAAAAGTTATGCTCTTGGCAGGTGCCTTATAAAGTGTGAGCTTCTTTGCAGTATGTGGGCAGGGGAAAGCCTGGGCTGCCCGAAGCCTTTGTTCAGCAGAGGAATCATGCAGTAGGTCTTCTTAATTGAAATGCACCACAGAACAGCTTTAATGTGTGAAATAGCTTTCCTGTATACATGAAAAGCTAGATAAAAATGAAGAACATGATGATGATGATGTCATGTGTATTTCCCAAGGGGAAGTGCAGGAGGGATTTGGATGTGGAGTAGATGATACGGCCCCAAATACTGCTCTGTCCCTTATGCTCCACCATCCGCCCCAGCAGCACCCTGTGCCTTGCACTCCTTTCTGGGATGCTGCTTATACTCATTTTCCCCAGCCCATAGCCCTGCCTCTGTCCAGCAGCATAGCCTGGTCTATTTATATTACAGATCTATTTATATTGTTTCAGGATAACTTTCATCATTGTTCCAAGTGCGTCTGGAAAGAGAGACAGAGGCTTGCCATGTAGCTTCAGACATTAGAAAACAGGGGAAAAAATACTTCATCCTCTGCAAATGTTTTCCTTCTTGGCCTGTGGGGTTGGTGCTTCACTTAACTTCAATCAAATGTCAAATAAAGCAGGACTGGTTGAAAAGAAGTGGTCCTTAATTTATGGAGTTTCTTGTAAACAAGAATCAACTCTTGATTCCCCTTCCCTTCCTACTTATGTTTCCTTCCTACACTGCTCAGGGAGAACTTCCCCATACTTCTCTGCTGTAAAGACATCATCTGTCAGCCCTTTTTCCTTCCTACTCAAGTGTTGTGACTTAGGTGTGGTGGTGCCTTATCTCTCTGTTTTCTGTGTTAGCCTCTTCTGTCTCTCAAAAAGCACAGGAAACTGTTTAGAAGATGAGTCTCTTCAGCAGGGCCAGCGATACAGATTGGAAGTCAGATATTGTGATACAAGCGCAAAGGTCAGAGGAGTGTTTTTAAAAGACATTGGGGGAGATCTTTGAAATTTGATTTCTGAGCCTCTTTCCTGGATTGTTAGAAAACTACTGCCCTGTATTAAAATACAGCACCTTCCTTTTTTTTGTAAATGTGTGTTCTGGGTGGAAGTTACTAGTTATTGGTGTGTAATGAGACATATGTCCCCAAGTGCCTTCTGGACCAGCTGTCTCCAGTTCCATAACTGAACAGACAGGGCTCCTCAGAAGTCCTGCTTTAAGCTTGTTTCTGGTCCTGCAGGCTTGAAATAGAAGAGGGTAATCTTAAAACAAATTTCAGGAGATTAATTTTACTTCTAGATAAAGGTTTTTAATTTTGTAGTGCCTTCCACCTAAAAAACCCCAGTTAGCCAGCAGAAGTGTGAGACTCCATGGGAATACCTGAAAGCTGCTGACTGTGTGTTTCCTGTCCTCACCTTTCAGTGATCCCTGGGGGTGCTGCTGCAGTGGATGTTTTGGAAGGGGAGCACACTAGCATCTGAGGAAAAAGATCTAAAGGCAAGGGAAGAAGGTCTCAAAAAGTAACCTTATAGGACAGAAAGAGAGAAAACTTCAACTTCCAAAAGTTAATTAGGAGACAGAGTTGTAATATGCTGTTAAAACGTGAGCAGACTTAGTACCCAGGCTTCTCTTCTGTGTTTCACTGCTTTCCCTTGAGGACCAGAACTGAACTAGTATTTGCACTAACTGCTGTTCCCTGATCTCAGATTTATTGGTTGCTTTGATCTAAGAATTCAGCAGACTCAGAAGTTTTATTCCATGTGCTTGACTGTTTCCAAGACTCGCAGTGGTTCCAATTTTATTGCAAATTTCATAATATTTGATATTTTCCATCAAAGTTCAGCTCCAGAGTTCTAGGATTACAAGGAAATCCTTATTTAAAATTGCTCCTACACTTCAAAGTTGGAAGCAGGGAACTTTTGAAACAGCAAGACCAAAAGGCAAATAATTGGACATTTTCTTATTATTCTTAATCTGTTCTAATTATTAGCTGAGGGTCTGACTACTGATTTATTTGCTGTTTGGTACTGAAAATTGATGTGCTCGGTGGTGTGTTTTGTTGGCTTTTCTTTTGTGACCACCCAGAATCTCCTTATCCATTCTGTAAAAGGGGGCCTCCAGTGTCCTTGACCAGATGTTTCTTACATATACTGACTTTTTTGCATAGTGTCAAAATGTTTGATGCTTCAGCCAGGAGGGCAGTGTCAGGGTCACAGATAATGTTGTGTACACTGTTCAGCTTCAGGGATTTTTGGTTTGTGGATTTGGGTTTGTTTTGGGTTGTTTTCTTTTCAGCTTATGTTACCTGACCCCTTCTATTCCTGTTCATACTGAGTTATAAACATGGAGATATCCAGAGAAGAAGGTTCTTCACTTTGATAAGAAGATTGTGTGGATGTTTGTTAGGGACTTGTTATTAACCAAGCAAATTGATACAACAGAAATAATGAGTGGCTGGAAGTCACTATGTTACATGTCACCACTCAGTGTTCAGACAGTAAAAAATTTTTCTGAGCATTCCCAGCAAATAAAATGGAGTAGAAAGATGTATTGTTAGAGATGGAAATGTGTCCTGTGCCAGGTGTTCATCTGGGGAGCTAAGCAGCTGAGGTGGTGCTTCTCCCCCACAATCTCCTTGATTTCACGTTTTGTTTTTGGCAGTTCATCCTTGTCATGTTGTCCATTTCCCTCACCTCTTCCCATTGTGTTTCAACAGATCTGGTGGCTGGATCCAGAGCTGACATATGGCAACGCCAAGCCCTTTGTCTTCACACAGGGACACTCGGTGTGTAACCGCTCCTTCTTCCCCTGCTTTGACACCCCTGCAGTGAAATGCACCTACTCAGCTACTGTCAAGGTAAAGGATGGCTGTGAATGGTTCATGGAGCTCTTAGTTGCTGTTAACCTGTGAAAGCATAGTGACATCATGTTGTTTACACTAGTTTACATTAGTGGTTTACACCTGCGAAAAATACTGTTATAAAGAATACTGAACTTTTTATGTCCAGTTCTGGTTCTTGGACCAGAATCAGGATAGTGCCACAAAAGTAACTCTGTTGCCTACCATGCTTGGGTCTTGCCTTCCTTGTACTCAATGCTGAAAGAGTAATTGTGAAATGAAAATATGAGAGAGAATTTGTCTGGTCCCTTCCAATAGTGATGATAATACTCAATTGTATTGTACCAGTTTTTGAAAGAAAAAACCTGAAGCCTTTTGAAATCAGCATCAAATAATGTTGCATTTTGTATAGATGAAATAATTCAATACGTGGGTGCTTTTGGGGCAGCTGGCACAGGAGGAGTAATATCTTTGGTTGGTATGCTTTCATGGATTGGGCAGATTGTGGTATAAAAACCTCGCAGAAATCTTACATTTTGTGTTATGTAAATGATTGTTTTTAATGTACATCATCAGACCTAGATGAAAATGAACCAGAGATCTGTGGTTCAGTCATTCAGCTGTGATTATCTGGTGAGTTGATGTGTATGATGTTGGTCTTCCAGGCTCCAGCAGGCATACAGGTGTTGATGAGTGCCACCCAAAGTTCCTACCTAGAAGAGGAAGGTGTATATCAATTTTATATGGAATATCCAGTTCCTGCCTACCTAGTGGCCCTGGTGGCTGGAGACCTCATACATGCAGACATAGGTCCAAGGTAAGATTTGCAGTGAATTCATTCTGCATTTTATGTCTCTGTACAGTGCTTCATACTGTAAAGTAGCAAAGATGTTGAGTCATTGATAAGGGAACAGTTGGGTTCATGTGAGCACGGAGAGAGTTTGAGGTGTAGTTGGGTATAAAGAAATTCATGGCACTGCCGTGGCAAGGTTCCTCTTTCATAAATGTTGCCTACTGTCCTCTGAAGTCATTACAGCTGCTTTCTCATTGCCTTGTTGAAGGGAATTTTGGTTACCTCTTTCCATGTTCCATGGAGCATTAGTCTAGGAGGGCCTGGGTCTGATGGGAGGGCTCCTTGCTCTATTACCATACATGGAATTATGGTAAGCAGTCAGGCTGGTTTTTTTTTCTAAGAGATAATTCAGTTTGCTGAAGTATCACCTGATGTTTTCTGTTTTCTGACAGGAGCAGAGTGTGGGCAGAGCCTTGCCTGCTGCCAACAGCCATCAGCAAGCTTTCTGGAATTGTTGAGCGCTGGCTGACTGCTGCAGAGAGTCTGTATGGCCCCTATATATGGGGAAGGTGAGTTTAGTCAGTCTCTTGGGAATGTGCAATGGGAACAAAATAAAACAGTATTGAGAAATGATCATGCTTTCTCCCTATAGCAGGGCAAACTAGCATTTCAACTGGCAGCATTATAGTAGTTGACAACAGACTCTGGAGTTTTGTCTCCACAAGTGCCAGGGAGGACCATGGCGGTGTTTTAGCTGGTTTGCAGGGCAGAACTGGAGGTTTCTAAATAGTCGATCTTTCCTGAGGATTGAGGGGTTTTCATACTACAGTGTTTTGTGATGTAAGTCCAGCACTGGGCTGGACACCATTTAAAATGTATGATTGTTTTATTTATCTCATTTATTTCTGCATTTGTTGTGGCATGCCTGAGAATACTGGAAATCTCAGTACAGACTTATTGAGAGTCCAAGTCTCCCAAACCAACAATAATAGTTCTTGAATAGCTTGACTATGGATTATAAAAGAGTGGTTTTGAGAAAATACTTTCAGTCTTTGGATGGGAGAAAATGTTTACAAAGGTTGCCAATATTCTTTGCTAAAGGTAAGCAGGAAGGTCACCTTGTTGTTGACTTAAAAATATTGCTTGAAATAATCTGAGAACATGGCCCAGTGTGCCAGTGCCGATCACTGGTAAAGAAATTTAGAAAACAAAACAAGTATTGCTGTTGTGTTCTGAAGCAGACAGATTAAAGTTATTTTGCTGACTCTGCATGTATAGGAAATCAGTTTGTTCATTGACAGCTTCCTAGCCTCTATCTTTCCTGGGGGCCTCTGGGGACTCAACACTGTTGCACTACTGTTTATAGTGTAAACAGTTTTTGTGGCTCCCAGACAGACAACTTGTGATGAGTTTGTGTGTGTGAAGGGAGAACAATGCTTCTGGCATGTGCTGCATCTGCTGCACATCAAAAGACACTCAGGTCTTTATGTCCAAATATAAGCAGGTTCAAGAAAAGAAATTGTGGTCCTCTGATCAGAAGAATCAGGTACCACTGGTCTAGAACGTTTGTTCCTGAAGTCACAAGAAGGTCTCAGAAGAGCATTCCCTAAAGAAACAAAAATTTTATTGTGTCTTCTGAAAGAAAAAAAAGTTACTGTGTATCTTGTAGCTGCAGTTTACTAATTTTCTTTCTTCTCTCCTTAATTTTAGATATGACATTGTTTTTCTTCCTCCATCCTTCCCTATTGTTGCCATGGAAAACCCATGCCTGACTTTCATCATCTCTTCCATTCTGGAGAGCGATGAGTTTTTGATCATTGACGTCATTCATGAAGTTGCCCACAGCTGGTTTGGGAACGCGGTCACCAACGCCACGTGGGAGGAGATGTGGCTGAGCGAGGGCCTGGCCACCTACGCGCAGCGCCGGATCACCACCGAGACCTACGGTACAGCTGCAGAAGCTTCTCCTTGTGCCCCTTCTTACCACAACTCAGAGTTGCCTGCTTAGACTATTTGCCTTGGAAGCTCAGAAGTCTGTAGGGAGCTGGTTTTCAGTTAGGTTTTGTTTTATTTCTGGAACACACACCCACACACAGCCCCAAACTTTGTGTTGAGCATCTTGCATACTCAGTTTGACGTTATCTTGGCTTTAGTGGGCTCAATACCTGATATGGTACCAGGGGCTTTGAGTGAGGTATGTTAGCACAATGTTGTGGGGACTTGGAATTACTGTTGGGTACCAGGCAGGTGCTGATATGTCAGAGGAAGGTGAGCAGAGGATGCTTCAGAGAAAGATGTAAGAAATCTTATCACAGTTACCTTGTAAAATAACTGTTCTCTGAACAAGTGTCCTTTTAATTCTGATCAGTTAGTAGCTACCTACTGTTAAAAGAATTATGGCAGTAGCACTAAAAGAAATGTACAGATTTATGTAGCTGTTTATGTGCTGGAGGCTTCCTGCAGGATCATGAGCTAAGCCCTGCCTTTGCTTGCGTCAGTGAATTTCATAGGTCAGTTTTATGGTGCTGACTTTATAATATATAAGTAGTAAATTATTCCTCTTGCTTTTAAGTGTAATTGGTTTTTTATTGAAGTGGATAATGGGAACGTATGCTTTTCTAGTTTGTCCTGTTATGTTGTTAAATACCAGTTCCATGTGTTTTCTCACGCATCAATTGCAAACAGTCTTAGAAAAGTTCCTAGAAATCTTGGCAGCAAAAATGTTTAGAATAAAGCATTTGTTTTTATTCATGTATATTGTTTTTGGAGATGAACTGATGACAAGTTAGGAAAAGAAGTGCTCCGAGCATCTATAGAGATGTTACAATGCATATTATGTATCTTTGAAAGCTGTTTTATGTTGAGTAATTCTCAGTGGGTAGTGCTGTCCTAAGTCACATTATATATGGCAGTAATGTGAGTAGGTCAGCAGATACTAACCTCTTCATCATCGTAGTCTGCTCCATCCAACATAGAACAAATCCCTGCTGATTTTGGTGTGGTCTCTAGAACTGGTTGTTTCAAGAAGCATTTGCTGGGAAACTAAGAAACGTCTTTCCCTGTGCAATTTTTCAGTAAGCTATTTCTCTATTCTATTTTGTTTCCAAGACAAACCTCTGATCTAAATCTTACAATTTCTGACATAATTTCTGGAGTATCTTCTTTGCAGGCATCACAGGCAACTTTGCAATGGTATTGTTTAGAGAAATTTGAGTCCACTGACTACCACTCCTCTTGGATCTTGCTTAATTCTTATCTCTGTAGCTTGAAGTAATTGCCCTTAACACTAGTTATCCTAGTTCTTGCTTTCCTGGGAAGCACATCAATGTCTTTTCTCTGCTCATACAGGTTCTCCTGTTTTCCAAATACATCCTGGCTCTTAATTCACATTTGGCTACCTAGGACTCGGGTGTTAGATCGAGACTGAGGATGTACCTATGTAACAAATCCTATCATCAGGTTAAAAACTCAGCAAAGAAGGCTAAAATGTTAATAGTTATGGATGTTAAGTATCTTCTAAATATGAAAATCCATTTTCTGCAGCTTCTAATGTCTGCGAGGACATAGGAAAAAAATCTCTTGACTTGGCAGTGTAATACAGCTAGTTTGGTTTGAAAGCATGGAATGCTCTACATTGCAGCTAGGGAGAAGAGTAGCTTACCCAATCACAACTGTAAAAAGTCTTAATGAGAGGAAGGTGAAATACTTAGGGCAAAAACCAGGTAGGATGATAAATAAAGCTTAAAAAATATACAGAGGAACTATAATACAATAATAAAATCAATTTTTTTTCTTTTTCCACTCAAGAGGTGACATTTGCTTAGTAATATCCTTGGCACTGAGTATGGAATTGTGTCTACTATTCTACCAGTGACTGTATGTTTTTGTAGCAATTGATTGCTCCCTGAAAATTACCTGTACAATATTTTTTTCAGTGCTGCTCTCCTTATCTTGCAAGAACTGATGAGACTATGTCAAGGATGTAAACTTTAGCATAGTTTTCATGCTGTTTTGTTTTTCAGTGCAGCCTGATGCATGATCAGAGTGAGTAAATACACTGGGTTAAGCTCTGACTTCCATTACTAATTACAAGGATGTTCTGCTCTCTGGTTTCTCTGTCATTACATTACTGTGATTCTGTCTCACTGTTCTATCTTTTATATATGCAGCAGCTTTTATTTTGTCCCTGTGCCAGTCCTGCACAGATCAGGTTTTGCTGATTATTTTCCCACAACTAACAAGTTACTTTCTGGGGTAGGAGCTGCCTTCACATGTTTGGAGACTGCATTCCGCCTCGATGCTCTTCACAGACAAATGAAGCTCCTCGGAGAGGACAACCCGGTCAGCAAGCTTCAGGTTAAACTGGAGCCAGGTATTGCTTTTGGCTGAGGCTGCTCTACACAAAATTATACACCTCTGTATATTCATGATGGAATATTGACAAAAAAATGGCTAATATTTGCATATCCTTTATGGGGGGGAAAAAAAAATTACTGGTTTGTAAACCAGTGTAAAACGAGGTAAGGAAGCTTTGCTTTCAAGCTTTTTTCAAGGTTGGATAACTCATCTTTACAGATACTGTTCTATGTAAGAGCAGACTTACTGATTAGAAAGAATGTGAAAAACTGCCTTGAAAGCTATGTGGGTTTAAATTCTGGGTATGTAAAATAAAGTATTTTAAAATGGAAGTATTTGGAAACATAAAATCCTCTGCTATTCAAAGTTCCTCTATTTATGTGTTCTTGTAAGAACTACATATGTATTTAGCATGTATGTGTGTATTTAGCATGTATGTATGTATTTAGCATGCAGATAAACATGTACTTGCTCTAAGTAGAGCTGTGCAGAGGCTGTTCAGTTATTCCCTGAGCCAGATGCATGACTGCACTCCAGATTTACCTATCTCCTATATAGAACCAGAGTTCTCTAGCTCTGTGGGCACAGTTGGGTGGGTGAAGCAGTCTTCTATCTAGATGATATTTAAAACAACCTAAAATGTAAGTAGAGAGTCAAATTTGGAGTCAAATGGAATGGAAAAGCACGTGTTGGAAGCCTCAAAAAAGGAGCAAGTGGTGATTACCTTATATTGATATCTTTGAAAATTTGTGATATGGTGATTCCCAAAATCTGGCACTGACAAAAGAAAACAGGATTTGTTTTCCAGTTCCAGATCTGTTTTCAGTGACCTCTAGTTTGAAGTAACTTATTGCATTGGGAATTACTACTTACCTTACAATGATTGGCAAAAGAAAATATTGTTTTTCAGGCTGTGTCTTTAGACTGCATCTGTTTAATTTACTGCAGTAACTTAAATGTGCTGATGACAAGCTTAGGTTTTATTAAGTCACTGTGTCTCACCTTGGTGATCTCTAAGGGGTCTGTATAACTCAGAAGGGATGGAAATCACTCTCCTCATTAGTTTCTTATCATGCTGTCTTCTTTCAGGTGTGAATCCCAGTAATTTAATGAACCTCTTCACCTATGAGAAAGGCTACTGCTTTGTTTACTACTTGTCCCAGCTCTGTGGCGACCCCAGACACTTTGACTCCTTCCTAAGAGTGAGTGTAAATATGTGTTTTCTTGATATTTAGAGCTGATTTTTTGTTTTTGTTGTTTGAGTTTTTTCTGCAGATTCTTTCACTGTGGCTAATTGTTAAGGGTAAAGTTGAATAAAAGTGTGTCAGAGCTGGAGGAATGTTTTGTGCCTGTCTGTCAACCTACATGAATCTTTCTACAAGATTTCTGAGATTATGAAGTGCTAGATATAGAATAGTAATATATATTTGTTATCTCTTGTTCTGTGCTCCAAGTAATTAGAAAGCTGTTCCAGCACAGTTTGCCTGTGACTGGAAAGATGTGACTTGATTCACTACTAGGAAGTGTTAACTTGGGTTTTTTTAACCAGGGTGACAAAGGGTATGTGTTACTATATTGGGTCAAGTCAGTGCCTGGAAGCACTCTTGCAAAATCTGTAGAAAATTGTCAGCAACTGCGTTGTTTTGGAAAAGGAAAATGAAATGATACTCAGCTGTCAATGTATTTGCAGCTACTCTTTTTTTTTTCTTGTTATGGTGCTTCTTTATGAGGCTGAGGAGGGAGACTATTTTTCTTTTTTTTTTAAAAGCTTCAAATAATTGTTCCTATTCTTATGTTTGTACTTTGTTGTTGTTACTGTTGTGGAATGCAGTGGTTCTACATCAAAAGGAAGCTGTGTTGCTCCTAATCATAATTTGAACATTTCACTGTTTTAGGCCTACATTGAGAAGTATAAATTTACCAGCGTTGTGGCTCAAGATCTTCTTGATTCCTTCCTGAATTTTTTTCCAGAGCTGAAAGAGCAATGTGTTGAGAGCAAAGCAGGTAGGAGATTTACTAAGTTAACTGTGAACACTGTAGAAAACCTGGATGATAAATTTTGTGCCTGGCTTGAAGGATGCAGGGGAATGCTAAGGCAAACAAAATATTTTGGCAGCAGCCAGGTGTTCTTGACAGAATTTGTGGTTACTGCCTCTATGTTGGGGAATGAGAACCTCTGAAATTGCTGACAGTTTTGGCATTAATTAGCTGAGTGTTCCTTGATTAACTTTCTCATTAACTCACCTTTCTGCAGACAGAGTGATCAATGCTTGTGAGATTCACACATGCTTAAATGCAGGGAAAAGGTGAACACACTTTGAAATTTCATCTATTTTAATAACAGAAAACATGTTTTGGGAGCTGTAACTTCCCCTAGATCCTACCCATACATATAAAATCTCTTCCAGTATGTTTCACTTTCCCTTATATCCCATATTTATAGCTGTTGGTGGATTTGTCGAAGGTCTGTGGCTTACCAGGTGTTTATTTATCTCACTTTCTTCAAGAAAGGAGATTCATGTTATCCTGCCATGTGTCCATCCCTATGAGTAGCAGTTGAGGTCATTGGTCAGTTTAAACCAGACTGGCAGAGTACAGCTCTTAAGCATACTGTGTGCCTGCAGGCTTTGTGGAGAGGAAACTGCCTGTGAAGAGGTGTAGATGAGAGCGTTTACTGTGGGAAAAGCTGCAGCGTGAGCTCAGCAGTTCTGTGTTTTATTTGGCCCACTGGTAGGCTAATGAGTTAACCACAGAATTTGCTAATTTTTGCCTGGCTAATATTCAGGGGATGTGGAAGATAGGTTTAGTGTAGATGGTGTGAAACAGGAAGCATTGCCAAGGGTTAGGAAAGTACAGAGGTGGTAAAAGGTCAAGAGGAAGAGCTCTGCTGCAAAACAGGCTCTGCTGCTTGTGAAGAAACTTTTTTTTTTTGCTAGTTGCATAAATAAATATAAATTGCTTGGGTTTACTGGTTGGGAGGAGAAGTTTAGTTAGCCCTCTCACCTCCTTTTTTTTTATAAAGTGGGTTTTCTCCGTATTTGTCAGTCTTCCTCAAAATTCTGAGGGAGAAATGCAGACACGCAAATATTAGAGCATAATTTGAACATAGGTACTTGTCAGCTTGGCTGCCTTAAGAGCACATGTGTTTCTTGTATTTACTATACTGTTGAGCTCTAGAAAATTCACAGTGAGGTTTGGAGAGGTGTTGCCGGCAGTCTGCCAGGTGCTCCATAGGCTGTTCCATCCCAATGAGGCTGCTAAGACTGTTGTGTCACTATAACTATTGGTTGATGTTGTTAGAACCTCTTTTAACTGTGCTAGAACTGGTCCTGAACTTTGAGGCAGCCAAGCCACCTGCAGAACTCCCTGCTCCACATTTTTGGTGCTCCTCATTCCAGGACTGGAGTTTGAACGTTGGCTCAATGCTACAGGACCTCCATTAGCTGAGCCAGACTTATCTCAGGGATCCAGTCTGACCAGACCAGTGGAGACACTCTTCAAACTCTGGACCACAGAGCCTCTGGACTCTGTTGCTGCTGCCAGCAGTGTTGACCTCACTAAATGGAGAACGTTCCAAACTGTGCTTTTCCTGGACAGATTGCTGGATGGATCACCACTGCCACATGGTGAGTACTCTTACCAGCATAGTAGAAAATTATCCCTGGAATAATTGATTGAATTCTAAAGATCCCACCTCTGGTTGACTTTATAATTCACGTAAAGTCGGGTTGATGTCCTGGGCCATGGCAGAGAGATTAGGTGATCTTCAAAAGTCTTTCTCAGCCCAACAGATTCTATGCTTCTGTGATTTTATGAATTGTTATTATCTGATGACCCTCAAAATTGACAAAACAGTCATAGTTCTTTCTCTGTGTATGTGCTTTCTTCAGAGGTGATAAAAAAGCTCTCGGAATGTTACTCCTCTCAGCTGGACTCCATGAATGCAGAAATCCGTATCCGCTGGTTGCAGATTGTAGTCCGAAATGACTATTATCCAGACCTTTACAAAGTCCGTCGCTTCTTGGAAAACCAGGTACTAACTGCTGGATTAAAATCACTGCACCTCTCAGTGCATGAGACATGTGCATGAGACATGCGACGTGAAAGACCTTGGAACTTCTGCTTCCTGGCCAAGTGTAGTCCAGGTGTGTTGCGAAGGGGCTGAGCATGGCTCACCTGCTAGCGGTGGGGAGGAATGGGCAGATGTAATTTAAATGCCTACAGATAATCTCTGCTTTTCTAGCCTGACTCAATACCCTTGTTCCAGCTCTGCCCCATGCATTTTATGTATTGCTTTGTAGCAGCCCTGGCTTTTCCAGACCACAGGTTTTTGCACTACTAAGTCATGTGTTTATTTGAATATTTACACTTCAAGCAAGGCTAGGGCTCATGGAGTTCTTTTCAGTAGTTGTTATTGTGCTGGAGCAAAAGGTTAATGCATGTGCTCAGTGTGGCCTCTTCTATTTGGCCTTTAAAAAATAGTTCTGTTATTTGTGGAAGTAGCTCAGTCTCAGAGAGCAGATTATTTTTTTATTACCATTCATAAAAATCCTTGCATCAGACTTAGAATAGACTCATCTGTCTTTTGAATAAATGTGTTGTTTGTCTCCAGTCTGAAGTTACTCGGGGCTGTTGGAGTGTAGCTTTAGAAGAGACAAACTTCTTGACTTTCATTGAAGTGTTTTTATCTTGTTTTCCTTTTTTGTAGATGTCTCGGATGTACACAATTCCACTTTACGAGGACCTTTGCACTGGCACCCTCAAGTCTTTTGCCTTAGAAATTTTTTACCAGACCCAAAACCAGCTGCACCCCAATTTGCGGAAAACGATCCAACAGATCTTATCCCAGGGCTTGAATCCACTTCCTGCCATAGACACTACAGCAGTCACTACAGACACACCAGCAATGGTGCTTGAGGACAAAGTCTCAGAGGCCACAAATGGTGCCATTTCACTCAGGGATGTCAACGTGTCTGCTTAGATCACCAGTTCATGCCAGCCATGAAGCTTGAAAATGGGGACAGGAACAGAGGAAAGATACCAAGCGTTGCCTCCTTTCCCTCAGCCTTGCAGCTGCAGTGTGTTGTAACTGGATTTCTCTCCCAAAACACAATGAAAATGTGCCTTCAAGTATCCAGCGTTTGATACTGCCAGGTTTCAGAGATCTCCGCCAGCTGTGTGATGAATATTTTGATTCAGTTTCTACTGGGCAGGGACTCCTGGGCTGTTGCTTCTCCATGGAAAGTGGATAGTTCCCTTTCCTGAGGCTCTTCTGGATTTCTCCGGGTTTGTTGTTTGGTGGGGGGGAGGGTGGTTGTTTTGTTGTTTTTTTTTGGTTTTTTTTGTTTTTTTGTCTGAGGCCACTGAGGCATGTCCTACTTGCTGTGTGTATGTTGCTGGGGAGTGTGTATGTGTCAAGTTGTCATTGTCCTAATATTTGGGCTAAAGTTCTGTAAAGGAGAGACTCAGGAATTGTTAGTGGCAGCAAACATGTTTTCATGTTATGCTCCTTCCTGTGACAGAGGTATTGTGATTTCAGAGGAAGGGGACTAATGCTTAAATGAGAAACTAATTTTAAATAGCTCCTGTTTCCCCCTGCCCATAGGTGGCTAAGTAATAATAATAATAATGCTCTTTATATATATTAAGAGATATATGAAAAAGAACAGGGAAACATGATGGATTTGAAATCCTTCTGTAGTTAACCCTACTCTCAGTTTTCCCTTTGCACTCAATGGGACGAGCAATAAAGAAATGTGTAGGCTTGAATTTTCAAAAAAGTTAAAATTAGGTTCCCAAATCCCATCAATTCTGGTACTAGCTGGATACCTAAAACTTTTTAACTGTTTTGGCAAGTTTAGCTGCAACTTTTGCTAGTGTGTCAGGATGTGTGGCATATGTATCAGATGCACTCTGTGTGTCTCCTATTCTGTTCTTTTGGAGGAATTAACAAGACCTGTAATTTTTTTAAGATCCCCAGCATATCTTGGCCTGTAAGTCAGCCATGAAAATATCCATGCTAAGATTTTACTGCCTTGAATACTGTTTGCCTGAATAGCAGTTGCCCTGTCCTACAATAGTCTGAGGGAAATACCATCTTTCTTGATGTGAAACTTTTAAATCCCACTTTATCCAAGTCTGTTTTCTGACTTACAGTGGGAGTAAGGTGCCATTTCATTTCCCTGGCGTGCTGTTTCTCTGGATCATTGGCCAGCCATGCAGGATGGGAAGACACTGTCATCCCTCTGTGCTGTTTGGTCTCAAGAAGCTGAGGGCAAAGTGTCCTGGGGTATTGCAGAGTACAGGTGATAGTTCTTAGACTCTGTGCCACAAACTTTTTATTATGTGCTCTCTGTGAGCTCCCACAAGGCATCTCTGAGCTGATGCATCACCAGGATAGTATGAACAAAAGGCAAATCATTTGGAAAAGACTCAGCTAACAAAGATGTGCGAGAGAAATTGTTTTATACTTCAGGGCAAATTTTAGCTCTGCTATGGGGATCTGCATAGACAGGAAGAGGAGGAAATTTGGGAGGGTTTTTTTTTCTTCACCAGAAGTATCTGTTTACACCCATGTGTGGATGGGGACTTAGGTGCTGTTGCTGGATCTGCATTTTCTGGCTTTAAATTAATTTGGACTTCACCATAGCCTTAGCCTGGGCTGAACTGGGATAAAGCAATAATAAACTCAGGCCTCTGTAGTGCTTCACTAGTTTTAAAAATGGGCTATCAGCGTTTTTGGGCTTCAGAACTCCAAGCTCTTCTCTTTGCTCCTTGAATGGGATTATCTTTTAAATTCTGTTTTGTTTTCCCAAAAAGGATGGAGAATGATGTTTTCTACACAAATCTCTTTCATTTTCATTTCTTGTTCTATTGAAAGAGATTTGTACAAGCTGACTTTACACTTCTGGAGTTGCCTCTGTTGGTGCTGTGTCTCCTGGACTCCACTGCCAGCAGTGGCAGCCTGGTCGAGACCAGGAACCACTAGCATTTTTTGGAATCACGGGCCTCTGTTTTAACACATTTTATTTAGTGGGAGAATGTTTGTGACCCTGATGGGAATTTTTCATTTACATGGATGCCTTATGATGATTGTCAAATTAAACTAAGCTTTGTGACAAGTTCAGCCTTTTGGGCAGTTTTTTGGCGTCCCTGCGCTAGCTGTGTGGAAGAGCTAACTTGGTTCATTGTCTTTGTTTTGTCCTTTTCTGGGATGCAGCATAGAGGGAGTTTGGAAGCTTTTTCGAAGCTGCACAGGAAGGTGCTGGAGAGGTGGCAAAAGCAAACAATCAAAAATAAATATTATTTATTGTTACTAGAACTGACTGAAATAGATCAGCTCTGTGTTTGGGATAGACACCCATCAGAGTAAGGAAATGCTGGCTGAACTGAACAGACTGTTTCCTGGTTAAATAACACAAGATATAAGTGAGTGTTTCTGCTCTCATCTCTGTGAGATACTATGAAAATGGCTTTTTACCTAGGACCTCTTTTCTGAAACATGGAAGCAGAGCAAGATTTTTTGAAAGTATTCTGTGCATCCTCCTCCAGGTACTTCTCTTTCTCCTGTGAGTGAGGAGTGCATTTTTTATATTGTAGAGATAAAAAATTGGCAGCAGGTTTGTGGAGATAAGCCTTCCTTTTGTTGACAGAAAATAAATTAATGCTTCAGGCCACTTCTGTCTTGATTTGTAGTAGACTTCATATTGACAGGGAAATTACACTGTGATTAAATAGAAACTATTTGCCTTATCTTTGGTACATTAATTTCTGATCTAAGTTGGATTAGACATCAAATCGGTTTTATTCAAACAGATGCCAAGAGATCAGGTTATCTTTTTTATTTTGAAAATGAAAACTATTACTTTATTTCATTGCAGCTTTGAGCAGGGCAACAGAGGATCTAGAAATATCACTTGTAAAAAAGCTCTGAAGAGCCAAACAGTTTAATAAAATGGAGTATTTCTGACTTAAATTTATAGCATTTCATAGCTGCAATTGGTTGATACATTCAATATAATTCTTGTTAGCTACAGTATACTCTGTTAAACTTGTATCAGTAATTTTGGTGTCTTGTTACATTGCAACATTTTAACCACAAACTCCATCAACCAAGAACAATTCTATCAAGTATCCCAAGCATTCTGCTTCAACCAAAACTCTCTCATATTTTCGCACTGTAGTGACCTTGGCCATTGTCTTTTTCAGATAACACAGGACTTTCTGTACATCTAAGCTCATGAGCTGCACAATTCACTTAGGTCAAATACGCTTCTTCAGTCTTCTTTCCCTGTTTGTCCAAAGACAGAACAACACAGTACAGTCAACACGCTAAAATCACACCACACTTCTTTTCACACTTTTTACTATAGATTGATAAAAGCTGAAAGACACTTTGACCACAGTATCAGACTTGGTGTCTAAGAGAAACCATACTAGAAATCACTGTGTGAGATTTATTGAGCCACTGTCCTCTGAGACACAGAATTTTTGTCAGTTGTGAGGACACAGTTTGCCACTGATTTTGTTGAAGCCCCAAGTAAATTGGTTTAGCTGTTGATTACATGCACTCCTGAAATGCATACCTAATGCCTACTTTGGATTTGTCGACTTTTATCTTCCAGCTCTGGAAACTACTGCTTTGTTTGTGAAAGTTAAATTACTTACCTATAAACTACTTACCTCTTTCTCATGTAAGTACTTTTTAATTCTTAAAAACAACAGATTGATTGGTCTCTTGATGCAAGCTATCTTCCACAGCTTCATGTACTGATTTTGCTTGGGTGGAGCATGATGTTTCAATATCCTTTTAAAGTGGAAATTGCACATTGTTTCTCAAAAATTACCTCAATTGCTGCTGTATATTCCACATCAACTTTAAAATAATTTTTTATTGATACTGCCCATTCATCCTGTTTTTTCCATTAATAATAGTAGTAATTTGGGCACCTGTTAGTATATGTCTTACCTGGACATGAGAACCTTTAAAAGATAGAGAAGGGTGGAAAAACTATTCTGGAGGTGACTTTTCACTCTATACAGAGGGATACTAGCCAGTTGCAATAAATGATTGAGCCTGTGTGAACACTTCCCTTCAGTTCTCTTCCTGAGTGTATCTTTTGCACTGGAAAACTTACGTCTTACGCCTCTGATTCCTTGTCCAGAAAATTATGATTATGTTGAACATTATATGCTCTGTGTCCAACAAGGAAGGTGTTCTAATATACTGGAGACAAGCATTTCTCTAAAAATGAAATGGCATTAGTGGGGTTTGCAGAGCATTAGACCCCTAATCCAAAATCATATTCACTGAGATGCACTATCCTGTGTGCTGTGGCAGCCAGGCTGGAAATTTGGAGCTGTGCTCTACCTCTATGTGTACCTAATGTAATGAGAGAGGTCTATAACCCCAAATACCCACTCCAAAGTCTCACTTAAGCAAAGAGACACTCAATGTTGTTCCTTTGATACAGCTCTGATCACTGTCAGCTGATTATTGCTTGTGCCTTCCTAATCCTGGTATCAGGATTCAGAGAATTGGAAGAGCTCCCTTGTGAACAGCTTCCATGCATCAGAATTTGCAGAAACAGACACACACAATTGGGCCCAGCCACTGCTGCTTGATTACTTTTATTCATCTGCTTGTCCATGAACCAGTGGGAGTTGGAGACAAAAGGAAACATGGGATTGATGAAACCCCAAAACTGGCAAACATGAAAATATCAAACACTGTTCTAAAGGATCAGTTTCATTCACATGGAAATGGGCTGATTATTTAGCTGGACACAAATCCCTTTTAAATTTCTATAGCAATGGGACTCAACCTCTCAGTCTTCTTTCCTTCTTTCCAAGTAAACATGAAGCACCTATGTTAAAGTGGACTGAGAAATAGGTTGACAAACAGGCAAATATAATTTTGTCTTAAAATATATCTTCAGGACATTCTGTCTAAATAGACCTGCACTTTGTCTTCAGAACAGCTTAATCCAGCAGGATTGCTAAGTGGCAACAGGGAGAGTTCTCTGCTGCTTTCATTCCAAAGTTTCTGGTTAACAGAAAAAAAAAAAATCATCAATTGCATACTGTATTAATTTGCCCCTTTCCAACCTTGCAGTGACAGGGAAGACATGTCACATATCTGAGGGACCAAGATAATATCTATCTCTTTCCTTCTTCTAATACCTTCATAAATAAACAGGTATTTAACTAATTAACTAACTGTTGCAGGCTGGACCTCTTGTATTTACAGTTAGAGCTCAACATTTATCCTGCTTTCTAGAATCGGTCCTCTAATGGAATTTATGCAGTTGTGTGATCGCTGTTTCCTAAAGAATGCAGGGGTGAAATCACACAGATCAGAGCCCCACTGTTCCTGACACAGAGGCCTTTTTTTCCCCTTTCCCTCCCCCAACAGAGCTCTCCTGTGTCGCTCACTCACAGCCGCGCAGCTGCAGCTCCCTCTCATGAGCTGTGGACAAGAGGGTTATTCTTACTGCCAGCAGTGTTTCCTCTGCCCCCGAAAGGGTCAAAACTCCCATGTGAAAAGTCTTGTTTGTTGATTAAATTTGTAGTATGCAGGGAGAAGCCTTGTGTCTGTAGAATGGGCATGACGAAGAGGCACAGAACCTATTTCCAAATGTCGGGGGACGGACAGCTGCTGCAGTTACCTGAGAGCATTTCCATCTGCTAAGGCTGGCTTGAGGGGGGAGGATTTCTGCATTCATGTCTGATAAAAGCCAGTCACGACCATGTTTTCTGTGACTCTCTCATTCAGCTGACCTCTCTACCTAAGGACCAGGTGACCTTAGACTCACACGCATCATCACAGACAAGTGTGAAAAACAGATTTTTCGGTAAACACCTCCTCCTTCTACAGTGGCTCAGCAGCTTTTTTTATTGACCACACCTAACCTCCTTGAGAAACACTGATGTGAAAGGACTAAACGTGAAAAAAACAACAGCCTCCTTCAGTGTGCCCTGAAACCCAAAACCTCGGTGTGCTGAAGGATGGCCTCGTGGGGGCCTTATTTCTGCATTTCTGTTTTTTGTTCCTCAGTTAGGCAGTATTTTTAAGGCACTTTTTCTATTTCACTGGTCAGCGGTAGCTATCAGAATATGGGGATTAACATATCTCCTTTGTCGATTCAGTCTGTGGATGACTATATGGTGATAAACTATCCAAAAATGTGATCTTCGCCGTTAGGTCAGGAAAGCACTCGATGTGGGCCAGCAATTTCTCTGGGTTTCTCTGTCACAATCTTCATGAAAACACTTTGGTTTCATTTTCCTCCGTCCGTAGGATCTCGTACCTCAAGCTACGCGGGCAGTTTCCCATTTCTCCCAGGTATTCCCGGCCACGGAATCTCGCGGCTCCCGGGGCCCCCTCTGCTCCCCTCAGCTGGGGAGGGGCGGGGCCAATGCGTGGTGTGCCTCTACGTATCGCCCGCTGATTGGTCGATGGTGCCGTCCGTCATGCGCGGGCTGGGCGTGACCGCGCGTGCCGGTGTTGCCGGGTAACGGCCGCCCCGGGCAATGGCGGCGGGACCGCCCCGCGGTGAGGGGGGAACGGGTGCGGGGGCCGCCGGGCCGACACCTCTTGTGGGACCGGGGGCTGATGGGCAGGAGGAGGCGTGTGTGGAGGGGCCCTGTTCGGGCTGGGTGTGAGGAAAAGGGTGGGGGAGAAGCTTTGTGTGGAGGGTGTGCGCAGAGCGGGCGGAAGGGACCTAAATGGGTATAGGTCCCCTCAGGGGGACCTTCTCTTCCAGCTGAGCGCTGTAGGGTGGCATCAGGTGCTGGAAGAAGCCAGCAATGTGGTGATTCCAGATGCTCCGTGTTAGAGTGAGAGGCTGTCAATCCCTAAATAAATCCGCCATGGCTGTTTTGTTTCCCTGTTGCAATTCCCCAGTAACACTCGCTTCTGTTGCAGGTTGGTGCCTGGCGATATAAAGTCGTAGGGATAGCCGGTAAAGGTGCTTAGGACTGTTGAAAATGCTGGGAGAGAAAAAACAGTTAATGGTGGCAAGAGACCTTTACACAGACCCCACGTTTCCGGCCAGTGATACCTCTATATTTTTTGATTATTGTACCCCGCTCGCCCAATTCAGAGGCGAGATATCCTGGTTGAGACCTAAGGTGAGTTTTAAGGTATAAAAGGCTGATTTTATTAGAATGGGGCTTTTAGGTAGTAAATACAAAGTAGCACTGAATGACTGCTTCTGGGTGGTTTTTTTTGTTTGTTTGTTTGTTTGTTTGTTTTGTTTAGAAACACAGGAGTAATAAAACCAATGTATGTTAGCGTTAACAATACACGAGTTACACTTTTTTAAGTCTAGGTGCTTGTTTGTGGAATTGATTTAAATCCTCTTGTAGAGCTTTTAAATTTCATGGCAGTAGTAGAAATTCAGATATTTTATTATAAATAAGTTTCATTATGCAAATTTTGTGCATACCAAGTTAGAATGCAGCATTATGTCATTCCCAATTTTTTTGATGTATTGCATAACTGTCTTGAAAATAAGTAATTGGATTTTATAATTTTTCAGAAGCCTATTGCTTTTTTTGTGGTTGATTTCTTTGACAACAAGAAAGAAAACTTCTTAAGTTTATAACTTGTCATATGATTCTTATTGCTTTTAAACTTATAGCTGGGTTGTAGAGCAAGCTGTATTAGAGCTAAAAGCTTTAGAATGCATTTCTGAAGAACACCCATTTGAAGTGAAGTATTTATGATACTGCCTTTGTGTACAGGGGGAAAAAGGCTATAAAAATGTAATGGAGGAAGAAAGTATGTTGTCTTGAGTTATATTTTTTCCCCTGTGTCTGAGGCTGTGTGTAGAACAGTGACAGAGCTGTTGGTTATTAGGTGTAATTGGCAAACAAATGATTTCATGGAGTCGAGTTTGCAGCTTCCTGCTTTTGTACTTTACACCTTGATTGCTGCTGAGGGCTGATGAGTTAATTTCCATCTCTTGCAGTGTTTATATATAAGGAGAAATATTTCACAAACTCACTTTCAGATCAGATTAAGTATTCAGAACCTTGCATTTGAAATTCCCTCTTGTGCTACCGATTAATCTATTTTTCTGTGCCCTAGGGAAGGTTTTTCCTTTGTTCTAATTTTGAGATGTTTCTAACTTGGGATGTGCAGTTTAATGTAGATGGCATCAGCCTTGAAACAGTCGATCATAAGTCTAGCAAGGAGCTGATGAATTATGTTGTCTTTCACTTATTACTGCTTTTGCTAAGGTTGCACCTGATGGGTGACAATTGTGTACTGAAATTCATGTGGGAACTAGATTTACATTCATGAAGTACCTGCAAAATACCCCAACAAGCCATTTATTTGTTACTTCTTACTTAGGCTGTGTATGAAAAGGAAATTTTCTAGAAGTAAAAATTCCCTGATTTTATGAGAGCTCTCTGGAGCTCTCCCAGTCCCTGAAACATAGACTTTCTTAGAATGCCATGCAGGCCTTAACTCCTCCTCTTTAATTTTAGGACATTTGTTCTTCTCCTCGGTTATTTTCAAACAATCTGGAGGATGTGCAAGTAAAACAAGGAATTTTGGGAGACTGTTGGTTCCTGTGTGCCTGTGTAGCTTTGCAGAAGAGCAAATACTTACTGAACAAGGTATGGAGTAGTTTCATGGTGGAGAAGTTTTCTTCACCTAATTGACAATTTTGTACCATTCAGCAGTCCCAAGCTGTCCTATGAGTGTTGCCTTCATTATGCTCAGTTCCACTGGTTTTGTTATCCTATTTTTTTCTGTGTTTGTTACAAACAGTTGATACTCAGTGTATTTTAAACTAGTTTTGTTTCCAAAGAATAAAATTAATGAATTCATTGTTTGCCTTGATTTTGGTTTTTGTCCTCCAGGTAATCCCTCCAGGTCAGCCCAGCTGGACAGATGAGTCCTACCAAGGCTGCTTCATGTGCCGGGTCTGGCAGTTTGGCCACTGGGTAGAAGTGACCATTGATGATCGCCTGCCTTGCCTTGGGGGCAAACTCTGTTTTTCCCAGTGTCAGACAGAGGATTTGTTTTGGCTTCCACTACTGGAAAAAGCTTATGCAAAGTATGTGAACACTGCTAT